AGCTTTAAAAATTACTAGTAGATTCTAAAAAAGTTGTTTTTAATCTTATGAAAGTAAGACAGTTTCAAAATTGTTTTTAATTTCTTGTGCTACCTACACACATGAGTACAATAAAAAATAGTGAAACAATTTTGAAACAATAAATTGTTTTGGTCAATATATATATTATTCATTTTTATTTATTGTTTACTCATTTTCCCTTTGAGTAATAAAAATATGAGTCTTACTCACTCTTCCCATTCCTTTGAATTTTGATAATAAAGTTTAATTTCATTGGGTTTTACAGTTATGTCTAGTCCCAAATCACCAGTTTGTTTAGGATCTGCGAAAGAAATTCGTTGTGGCCGAGTCCATTGAATTTTATAATCACTGATTGTTGTTGCACTGCGACTCAAATAACCTCCAAACTTATAAACATTATTTATTTTTGTGTTTATCAATTTGCAGCAACTTATTGCTAAACTCATTTTGATTAATATATATTCGAAATATTAGAATTAATCAGAATAAATTTAAAACAGCTATAGCGTTAGTTAATATAAAACCTTTAATAATTCGACTAGAACATATGAATATATGTCAAATTTACACATGCGTATGATTCTAAGTTAAAGGCAAGTTTCCATTTAATCGTAATGAACTCCTTTTGCAATTTTGTTAAGATATACTGACATAAGATTTTTAATTGAATATAATCAGCTGCTAAACTTAACTATATGTATAGACTACAATATACAATAGTATGGAGTAAAAGGGTACTATTTGAATAATTTTAATTAAAATGAAGGTATATCAAGCAATTAAGAGAAAAGTCTTCTTTTAATTACCAAATTTTATAGTTTATTTGTTATAAATACCAAAAATGTTAGCCAAAAATATATGTAACTTAAACACATTTTAAATGATGAAAGTATGAAAAGTTCACATTGGTACAAAATTATATAAAGTTATATTGGAAATTATTAGGATATTAAGGAAATAGTATATTAACTCTAGAGCAAATTGTACTATATCATTATCTTTATTAATTACAAACATTTAATAACGTTAATCAAAAAGCGTACACAACATATCAGCATGTCTGTGAATAAATTTTATAGATAATTCAAGTTTTTTTTCTTTTACAACGTATAGAAAGTTTATACATATATGCGCAGATGTAAATATTTAAACTCAATTTACGCATGCGCAGATATACATTTTTAAATTCAGTATACGCATGCGCAGATGCATTTAGTAATTTCGCGCGTAGTGTTACTCCATTTTTGATATCATAAGGTTGTTTTAATCGTATTGTTAATTATTTATGTGATCATACGTGATAAATTTGCACAAACTTATTTGCTATTAGTGTTAATTTTCGTTTTTCGGGTTCATGAGAGATCAAGGTCAGTATGATTCTTTTAAAACTATTTATCTTTTCGTCGAGTAGAGTATGTCAAAATAAGAAACATTCATTGTCGATGTTAAAAATAATTTTGCGGCGATTAGTTTAAACAAGTAAATTTCAATAACTTTTATGTACAACGTTAAACGAAGAACTAAAAATAACGGAAAATTTATTCATAATGCTTTTTATATTTATTTAAGTATAGAGTAATACTAGTGCAAAATATAGAAAAAATGTAATTATACACACTAAATTTGCTTTACGTATCACTTCTGCCTACGATTTCAAACCATTGCCGTAGCGCGTCACTTAGCACAACGGGCAAAGTGTCTAAATCTCTAAGAATAATATAAAATGGAAATGGAAAATTATCCATATAGGAACGTATACCCAATAGTTTCCCGTTCTCAAATACTGGCATCCTTATATCAAGTATTGAATCCTAAGAAGAAAAAGTATAATACAATTTGTAAAGAAAGTAATTTACGTTTTTCCAGTTAAACATCATTTTCATTCTTAAATTCTGCTAATCACTTACCTTGCTAAGAGGATTATCAACTACTATGAAAACAAGGAAAATATTTAGTAGTTTAGCTCTTCTCACAGCTGCATTCACGTTTTCTACTCCTTCTGAAAATATTCCTCTACCATCTGATAAGATAGTTACTAATTTTGCATTGTCAGAGGAACTGCTTTGGGATGAGAACATTTCTATCATAAAATCAAGAAGTTGGCCAATCATTGTTTTCTTCTGCTCAAATTTCATTTCTTGAATTAACCTATAAAATTTAATAATTTCTAGTTGTTGTTTGCAATTAATGCTTCAAAAATAGTTTTCTCAAAGTTTAGTACTAACTTTACTTCCATAAGTCATAAATTAGTTGAATTAAATTATTCAAAATCTAGGTACTTTTTAGTATAAATAGTTGCTAGCCTGATTCTACTCATCACAATCAAGAAATACAAATATTTTTAAATTTAGTTGCAGTTAGTCGCTATAAAATAACACAATTGATTTTTAATACTTCTCATTATAATAGTTACACTTACCTTGCACCGCTTTCGTCTGTAAAGTTTTCCCCGAAAGGATGAAGGATATTTACTCGTTCCCCAAAATTAACAACGGCAAGCTGACCAATCTCCAAATAAGTCATAGCTTTGCCAATTAACGAGAGAGACTCAAATGCTAACTCTTTCGAATGATTATCAGCCATACTACTGGAATCATCGATAGCCAACACAATTTGATAGTCTCTCTTTGATGGTTTCGTACGTCTTAACCAAATTTTGTCTTTTCGGAATTCGCTAGCGATATAGGGAATTACTTTTCTCATGTTTATACGCCTGCCAGTTCTGTAATCACCTTTTAATCGAGAGGTTAGGGTTGGTTCTAATACCAATCGCAGCTTTTCTGACAATTCCCTAGCAGCTGATTCTGTTAATGCGCTTATTGAACTCCAAGCATTTGCTGCCTCAACTGAAGATGATCCTTGAGACAACTGACTTAACATATTTTCAATTTCGGACCTCCTTTGTGCAATATCGTTTGTGGAAATATCGTAAGATTCTGTTTCTGGTAATTTTGTATGAATGCTGGATTCATTTCCACGCAAAACACGTGTTGTTTCCACTGTTTCACCCTCCACTTCACCTTCCACTTCCATTTGTTCAATATCATCTGACCTTTGACCTCTGACATTTGTGGACTTCTCTTTTTTACTTTCAGGTAATTTTTGAGATTGTTCTTTCTTTGCTTCTTCTTCTTTATCCTCTTCTATGGGATCTTCGTGCATTTTAGTATCCTCATCTTCTAGCTTATCATCCATTTTATCTTCTTCCAAGTTTGATGCTTGTTTTTTAACTTGCTCCTCAGTGGCGGCATCAAAGACATAATCATCAAATTTTTCAGTGTTTTTAATATGCTCATAAGTTGTACTTTCACCACCTCCTTCATTAGTCTCTCTTTCTTCGCAGCGGTCTATATTCTTTTGCGTTAGAGCAGTTTTTAATTTCTTCGCAGACGGTTGAGTGTCATCGTCGAGCAAACTACGATCTTCATTGCTCTCGCCTGGTTTTCTTCGCTTTGGAACAGCTTTTGAAGTTATTTCCTCGCCTGTAGTAGGTGCGTTCTCTTCTTGTTTAGATCCAGAATGTCCTTCACGTTCTTCTGTTTGCGACTGACCAGTTCCTTTGTCTTTTCTATCATCTACACTACTCTCTGTGCGATTTATTTCCATCTGTTCTTCACTTGACTGACTTGCTACTGCATCTCTGGAGCCATCTTTTCTCGATTCAGGTTCTTGTGCAGCATCAACTTCTTTACTACCAGCATCCGAACTAGCTGGTGCCTTCTCCTCTTCTGGTTGATTCTCTTCCTCCAAATTTTGCTCATCTGCCTCATCTTTTTTATCCTCATCAGGATCCTTCACTTTTTCGTCTTTTCTTTTGTTACTCTCTGCATTTGGATCTTCTTCTTCTGCTTCAGCACCTTCATCATCATTATCATCAGAATCCTGTTCTTTATCCTCTTCAGGACCTTCTTTCTCCTCAGATTCTTCGTTTTCTTTTTCTTCTGGAATTCGAGGCTCTTTCATTTCATCAATGTCGAAAGGATTTTCTTCTTCACCTTCAGGATTGTCTTCTTTCATTTCTTCATCCAAATTAATATCTTCTGGAAGATCAAAGGCTTCAGGTTCTGGCTCTGGTTGATGTTTCCCATGATAAGGATCTATCTGATCATCGTTTGCCTCAGGTTCATCTAGTTCATTAATCTCCTTCTTTTCTTCTTCTTCCTTCTTTTCACCACTTTCCTCATCCTCATCTTTATCCTTATTTTTATCAGTGTCATCTTTTGCACTTAATTCCTCCTGTCCAGTCTTCTCACCAGTTCCTTTCTCTTCTTTCTTGTTTTCCTCATCCTGATTTTCTTCCTCCTCCTCTTCCTCTTCATCCTTCCATATTTCTTCATCAAGCTTCTCTGCGGTTTCATCAGTTTCGCCCATTTCCTTATCAAGTTCATCATCTTCCTCGTTGTTCTCTTCTTCTTCTTCCCTTGGTTCAAGTTCTTGCAAGTGACCTTCAAAATTTTCAGACATCTCTATACCCTTTTCTTCCTCCTTTGTGTCTTTCTTCTCCTTATCTTTCTCCTCCTCGTTTGGACCTCTGGTCTCTTCTAATTGATCCTCACTTTCAATTTGATCTGAAATATCTTTTTGGCCTTCTCCTTCAGCCAATCCCATTCCTCCCTCTTTTATACCACTCTCTTGATCATCTTTAGGAGCATCCATGTTGTCTGGTTGACAAAATCCATGTATTGCTAAATCCAGAAAGACGTTTAGTTGAAGATAAAGGAATTTGCAGGTTAGACGGAAAGATGCCACTTGTTCATGCAAATAATAATGCAGGAAGAGAACGTATTGTTCTAAAAGAGGCACATGTTGCAGAAGTGAGCGTGTATAGTCATTTGCAGACTTCACATCGCTATCTTCAATAATTTTCATCAGTTCTCCAAATATTTGTGATATAGTCTTCAATCGTAGATCTGGAACATCTTTTTTTAATGATTCTATTAAGCCTTCTGTTATCAGATTCTCTTGAAAATCTACATCATCAGTAGATTCTTTCTCAGGATCATCTGTTCCTTCGATCGATTTCTGCTGTATACAGCTTTAAATTATTAGATTTATCAAGCTCTTCTATTGGTGAATTAAATGTTGACTTAAATAATTCACTACTTTCATCAAGTTTTTCCACTAAGAAATTCAGATTCTCGGTGATAGGATGATCTAGTGTGAAGGTACACCTAAAATCGATTAATCTTCTTTTAATCTCACTTATTTTTTGATAACTTGCTTGAAGAAAGTCAATGTGTCTTTGATGAAGCAAGAAAACTTGGCCTGACTCTTCAACTCTCTTGGAAATTGTGATCCAAGTGTTCAATTCACTTGCCATATATTTAATCAGGTTCAAAGAATCTTTCATTGAAGTAATTAAATCTGTTGAAACACTATTTTCTTTCAAAACAGCCACTGCAGCTTCATTTAAGTCAAGAAGATTTTCTTCTGCCAGAGATTCCATTGGACAACTTTCCAAAAAGATTATACTTTGTCTCACAGATATCTGCAATACTTCTAACAATGCCTGGAAATTCTTCATGACAATTTGCAGGTTCTTCTGCCTAGGAATATTAATATTTTCAGGTTCATTAACTGTTTCTTCATCTGTTCTTTTCAAAATCTCCATAAGTCGAGAAACATCTGAAATCCCTGCAGCGGTTGCAGTTTCTAAAATGCTAATAATTTCAGATATATCTAGAATATCTACAGACTTTGCAAACACAAAGTTTTCAGGTACTTTCTTCATTGTTTCCAGCAGTGCAGCCGTCTCTGAAAGTCCTGCCTCATTCACACATTCAAATACTTCTAAAATTTTTGAAGTGTCGGATATTTTCAACAGATTGATAGTTTTCACGACCTCTGAAGTGGTTGTGTCCATGTCACTCGCATGCGAAACTTTTTTAATCGCGTCCTGCCTCATTACTATGAGATTCGACACCTGGATTCTAAATGGGAGGAAATGTTTGAAGAAGTTGGCGATCGTTTCTTTCTGTCGATGAGCCAGCAGCACAAGATGAACTGAAAGTCCACGACAACGTTCTGCATTTTGTATTCCCAGATCGCTTTTTCCAGAATTCAAAATGCCATCAAGGAAGTTGAATTTAACCAAAGATTCATAGTAGTATCTGTTACAATCAGACCACTGTTCAATCAACCCTTTCTCTACATTTTTATTCTCGAATCCTTTAAATTCAAACCTTTGGATTTCTTGCAGATCCAGAGGAGTACATGTGAAATTAGTGATCTGGTTCTTTCGATTTTTCCAAGTTAAAATACCGATCCTATAAGAAATTCCAAGTCGACTCAATGTCTTGAAATAATTCGCTAAAGCCATTTTTTTTTGTTGTAGCATACTCTTTAATTGAGATTGTTGTTTAGCTTTTGTCAAGGTCTTATCCACTTCCAAATTTTTTAGTCTTTTACTTTCCTCCAGAGACTCTTCTATGAAAGTTTCAATGTCCTTTCGAATTTGGGGATAATTACTTCTCACAATAATGTTTTCACAGAAAAGTCGAGCTTTATGAGTTAATTTCTGAATTTTCTTTAATTTTCCTGACTGCGTGTTGATCACAAAATCAGAAGAATTGAGTTCTCTTCTTGAACTCATTTCCAGAGTCTCTGCTTTGGTCTTAAGGGTCAAACAAGATGCAACATTTTCCTTCAGGCCTTTTTGGAACTCTTTGACAAATTTGTGCAAAGTTCTACGCGTTTTTTCAGCAGTATTCTTCACAGACCAATAGCTTATATCGTTCCATCTTGTAATTTTAATTGTATCCTTTAATTTCTTGGCAACAGGCTCTTTTAGAACCTTTATTTTATTTTGAACATCACCGAGGAATTGATTGTAGTAGAAGTAAACGTTCCAGAGGATTGCAGACAGTTCCTTTTGCTTCTTACTTTCCTTCAAGTAGCCAATGTGTTGATAGAACAGGTAGATTAATTGAAGCCTTGCTTCAAATTCGATCAAAGTCGATTCTGTTAAGAAACGTTCCAAGCTTTCAATCATTTTCTCTTTTGAAACTTCTGACTGTTTAACATCTTCTAATATATCACTCTGTTCTACTAATGATTGTTCAATATCATCTATAAGGTACTGATCAATCAAATTGAACAAAAAGAACCACCACTTTGAGGCTTCTGTCTTCAAATCATCTTCAAGCACTTCCAAAGAGTCTTTCCACCTTGAGATCTCAAGTTTCCTCCAACGAAGGATCTTTTCACCGAAAAACTGGATGAATTCTGCTAGACTGACGCCGAGATGAGCGTTTTCTTCCCACTGTTGGATCTTTGTTAGAAGCAATTCCACGCCTACCAAAAATCTAGATAACGAAGAGTCAACAGAGAAGCTGAAGAGCCTGTCGACGATCAGTTTGATCGAATTTAAAATGGGATTTTCAGGCCACTCTTTCAACAACTCGTTGATCCTTGCACAAAATTTGTCAAAACACGGTTGGCATTCTTCTATTTCTGGAATATTTGGATCTCTATAGAAATCATAGACCTCCTTGTCTCCTTTTCTATCATCAAAACTGCATTTTTGTGAAATTAATACGTTTAAACTGCACACCAACTGTGAGGACAAGTTCTCTGACCAAGTATTCACAGAAGGTCCCAGCAATTGGAATCTCTCTATCAGAGGTTCAATAAAATCAGGTTCTGAATTGGCTTCAGATGCTTTTAAACTACTTTTACTTCTTCTAATTAAAGAAGTTTTTGAATTTTTTTCACTAAAAGAGGAGTTTCTCAAGATGTTCCAGTGGATCTCCTGAATCTTTCTGGCATCTTTGGTGGATATTAGCTCAACGAAGGATTCCTTTTCATCTGAGACACTTTCTGGTATTCTTTGAAGTTCTTGGAAGTCTTGCTGAGAGCCTGGAAACATTTCTGCCAGCTCAAGGAAGTCCTGTTGAAAGCCTGGAAACATTTTCCTGAAATCTGACTCTTCTTCCTCCTTTGTTCCAATCTTTGTTTTGAACAAGCTCTGCTTCTCTTTCATCTCTTCTTCTCTCTGTTTCTCTTGCTCCTTCCACAGGATCCTAATCTTCATAAAGATCTTGTTTAATTCCTCCCAGAGGGACTTCAAACGGTCTCTAGCTACCAGGGACAAATTTTCAAGCTCCTTCAACGCAATTTTGCTCATGGTGAACCTGTCTTTTTGAACAGACTTCGATATCGACTGTTTTGCAAGGATGAAAACCAGTTTCTCCGAAGAGCACAGCTTCACCAAGTTTATGTAACTCTCCTGACACAAACCTACTGCAGGAAAACGTAACAAATTGTAGCAAACGTCGCTGTTTGAGCTCTGGAATTGCATGTTCGACAGCTCGTGAATCAAAATGGAAACACCACGGTGCAGATTCGAAATGGCGGCGATCATTGGTGAAACCAAGTCTGGAAAACCGACCAGAAAATTCTTCTCCAACTTTCCAGAGAACCTCTCCAACGATCTCTTCCAGATCATTGCTTCGTGCAACTTTTCTCTGTGCGACGCCAGCGATTCTTTTCTTTGCAATTGTTCAGCGACGTCGTTTAAATGATTCATTTGCTTGAAAATGGTGTCGAAGGAGCCTATGTTCCCCGCAAAATTCCCGATTTCTTCCCTCAGATTTTGGAAGCTCGACGTTGGCCTAGCAGCGTGGAAGTTCTCGAAATTTTTCGCCTCGTTCGACGATTCGTTTAGATGATTTACTCTCGATAATTTTCGATCCTTTGACAAACAGGTTGCAAGGATAACAGACTGTAAATTTTCAACACAGATTAGGTATTCGAGTTCGGAGATATTCTCGCGGATGTACTTGGACTTGAGAGCGATCTTCTGTACGGGATCGATGGATCCTAGATCGTGGAAGAGGAAGATTTGCAGATAGCCAAGGATTAGCCAGCCATTCCCTCTTTCAACGACGCTATTCTCGTTTTTCATTTTTTCTTGGATTTTTTGCAACAGCTTCATTGGCTCGATGAAACGATCTTTTAAATCCTTTTGCTCCTCGTTAGCGTTAATCACTTTCTTGATGGCAGATAGATAGTAATTCATGTAAAATTGCAGGAGGATGGAATCGTTTTTAGAGATGTTGAATTCATTCGAATTTAAAATCAAAGAATTCTTCCATAGTAATGTTTGAATTGATTTTAACAGCCTTTTCTGATATTTGTAGTTTCCAAAATTGATTATTTCCCGCCTGTTCCCGGATTTTGTTAGGAAGAGCTCGAAGATCAGGTTGCAGAGGGTTGATTTGTTCATGAAGCTTGTCTGAAAATTGTGTGTAAAATTAGAAACTTCAAAGTAATTCAATTAATGTTTTGTTAGAACAGTACAATTTAAGACATTCAGTGACTTTACAGTATTGCAGTAAAAGGTTGCTAAAAATGATGAAAATGAAGAAATATCAAATAATGTATAAGATGATTGAAAATTGTACAGAAAATTACAAACGTAAAAGAAATTTATTTGAAGCTCTATTAGAGTAGTACTTTTAAAAATTTTTATAGAAAATTATAAAAAATGCAGGAGAATGTTAAACAACATATAAATTGGAACATATTTAAGAACAAGTAGACGGTAGAATTAAATAAGAAAATTAATAACTAAGTGAACTCGATACTCGTGCAAACTTTTTATCTAGAATTGAACAAAATTCACAGTTAAATTTAACAGAATAAAATAATAAAAGTACCTCCAAGATATTAGTAGCATCTTTTTCTCCTTCTTCTGTCTCTGTACGATCGTGCCAATGCAAAAGGACATTCGAATTTTTCACAGCGAACGATCGTTCTGTGAACTCCTCGATGAAGAACAGCAATTCAAGGAACAGAGAAATTCTCTGTTTGGGCATCGTTTCGTCAGAGTTCAAAGCTTTCATCAAACTAATCAGATGTGCTGGTATCGTTGGAACTTCTTCGAATTTCTTCAACACTCGTTCGTCGTAAATTTTTCCAAAAGTTTCGCCGGTTTTTTCGTTCGACTCGTCACAGATCATCAGAGTATCGGAAATTTCGTTAGAAGAATCCCGATGGAATTTCTGTGAAATTTCCTCGATGTTCGAGAATTCCTCGCAAAATTTCCCCTGGAAACGATACGTGAAAAGCAGAAAGAAGAATTCGTAAATCGGCCACATTTCCACTTCCCTAGAATCTTCGCTCATTTTACCAGAATTCTCCCGAATTTCCGTCACATCTGCAATCTTTCCGGCCAGTTCGTCAATTTCTACCAAATCCTGCGCGCTGTTCGAACCTTCTCCGGTATCTTTGAACTTCTTCACGCAAATCTCGATCAATTTCTCTCTCACCGTCGAATTTTCCACGATGGAAACCACCTTCGACCGTGTTTTCGCGACATCGATCGCGTCCTCCTCGTTGATTTCGAACTTTCTCAACGTCGATCGCAATTTCTCGTGGAAATTCATCGAATCTTCGGAGAAATGGGGCGACGGAACCAACAGAAGCTTCTTGATCTTCTTTCGAATTTTTCGAAATTTATCTACGTCGGTCAGGAGGTTCAGATACTTGCTCGAAAAGTTGGTGAATTCTTGTTGCGTCTTTCGATCGCATAATTTCCCGTCGAATAGCGCGAACAACTTCTTGAAGAATTTTACCAGCCATTTGTAGTGGACTTCCAGCGACGAAATGATCTCTCGCAGATCGAAAAATGTGCCTTGCGACTTGTCCACCAGCTCTATCGTTCCCAAATCGTGGAATCTAATGTACGATTTCAAACTGTCTCTTAATTCCACGTATTCTTTGTCGTTTATCGATAAATGCTCGTCGTGGAGGACGATGTCGATGATTTTTCCCGACTGCTCGATCAGTTCTGCGAACTTTAGTATCAGCGGCTCGTTCTTCAAGTTTGTCGATAGTCTTCCTGAATATAAGAAGTGAAGAAGATATTTGGAGAATATTTGGAGGATTTTAGGAATAAATTGTGTAATATACAGGGTGTCGTGTATGTAACTACTGTCCGTTCAAAATAAGAATAACCTCGCTCTCAGACCGGTTCTCGTCCGTTCTGCGCACAGACAGAGGGTAAGACGGAGAAAAACGTAGGCGGTTAAGTGGGGGGTTTGGACGTTCTAGCCCTGCCTTAGGCACGCCCCATGCGCGAAACGAGGTTATTCTTATCTTGAACGAAGAGTAGAGGTATTTGGCGGTGATAAATGGTGATTTTGCGTGACAAACTGTATCAGAAGTATAGAATGAAATTGTTTCATACGTTTACGAGAAAATTGAATTTGAAAACACGTCAGTTTACACGAAAATGGATTATCATTGTGCAACAAAAATTAAGTAAAAAATGTACTAATGTATTATTTGAACGAATGAATTTTTTTTAAAGCTAAGTATATAGCTGAATTCCTTGTTTAGGAACAAACAACCTTTACATTTCAACTATTTTTCTAAACCAAATAGTTTTCGAGATATTCTGCACCCCCAAATTTGAAGGCTATTTTCCCTCTTTCAACGTGGATTTCGACCCGTGAAGTAAGATACGTGTGAAATATTTTTCTAAAAATTATCACATCCTACACAAATTCCATCAAAATCAGCAATTTACACTTGGGGACTCTCCGTTTAGCAATTTTTTTCGATTCGTTATTATCCACGATTTTCAGTACATATACAAATGAATGTAAAATCTAGCGACCATAACTCGCTTTACCGTTTAAAAATTACATACCCTTTTCTCTACTGTACGTTTTGAAACTTTTCTTTCAGCGTTTGAAAAACGGTTAATTCAATTTGTAAATGGTAAAAAGCGACTTACGGGCCATCCGGTATAAGAAAAAAATGGAGGTATTTCCAGTAGCTCGATAAATTTTCGAATTTTAAAAATAAATTTCCAATAACCTTCCAACGAGACTGTTTTGAAAATACAATAAAGAATGCAACAAAGAACCCTTTGAGCAGTATGAGTGTGCATTTACCACAGTTCTCGCTATTTTAACGCATTACTATTAGTACTTGTAATCTGATTTTGAAAAATAGTGCAAAATATGCAGAAAACTTTGCACTACTCGAAAGTGCAAATGTGCGAGAAAATTCATTGTTAAAAAGAGTTAAGTGTAAAGAATTTTATTTTTGAAATCAAGTTGGAAAATATTTGAAAGAAAGAGGAGGAAATTGAATAATAGCAAAAGCTCCTTCGATTTGACTATTTTAGAACTTCTATATTGGTGAAACTTACCTGAACAAACAGCAGACGAGTATTCCTTTAGATCAATAATATCTTTCTTCTTCTGGAGGTTCTTCTCTGATTGACATTCAAGTGTCATCAATCGAAAATACATCGCGATGGTCAAATTATTGGATAAAGTTGTCGGTTCTAGTAGGCTCAATGGAACTTCTAAAGCTGATTTATTTCGGAACAAAAACTCCAAATTCTCAACTTCGCCACTCAGATATTCGTTTATCTCTGCGAGTTCGTTTAATTTATTTTTCGAAAACGTATCACAGCTCCACATTCGTCGTATCTGCAGGTCGTCCAGCGACGATCGTTCGTAAAAATCGAGCAAAAGGTGCTT